AAATCTTTCATCAATATTTTATGTACTTGGCCACTATTTCACTCTTGTAAAACTTTCTTCTCTTTACTTCTGTGATACCATATTCTCCTTTCCAATATCACACACCCCTCTTCTTTTCAGTTTCCTTTGCTGGCTGTTCCTGCTCTTCCTCGATCTGATGGAATGCCTTCTTTTTTCCAGCTGTTTTGCCCATGCAGAGGATCACCTACAACCCTGTGGCTTTTAAGTATCATTATCTTTTATGTCAGTAACACTCAAAACCTGCTTTGCTAGACTTGTTGACTTAAAAGTGAGTTGACTGGGGGGAAGGGGAAAGATGGGGGAGGAGGGTCAGCATTGTGGCACTGTGGATTAAGCCATCACTTGGAACTCCTCTCATATTGGAGTGTCAGTTTGAGTGGAATACCAGTTTGAGTCCTGGCTACTGTGTTTTTCATCCAGCTCCCTGAAACAAAATGCCCTGCCATCCATGTGGGAGACCAGGATGGAGTTGCAGAGTCCTGACTTCAGTCTGTCACAGCCCTAACCATTGCAGCCATTTGGGTAGTGAACCAGTGGATGAAAGTGCTCTCAAGCACATGCTCGCGCGCTCTCTCTCTCTCTCTCTCTCTCTCTCACACACACACACACAAACACACACACTCCTTTTTTTAAGATTATTTATTTGAAAGTCAGAGTTACACAGAGAAAGGAGAGGCAGAGAGAGAGAGAGAGAGAGAGAGGTCCTCCCTCCAATGGTTCACTCCCCATCTGGCCACAATGGTTGGAGAAGCCAGGAGCCAAGAGCTTCTTCTGGGTCTCCCACGTGGGTGCAGGGGCCCATGGAGTTGGGCCATCTTCCATGGCTTTCCAAGGCCATAGCAGAGAGCTGGATCGGAAGTGGAGCAGCCAGGTCTCAAACCGGCACCCATATGGGATGCCAGGGCTTCAGTCCAGGGCGTTAATCCACTGTGCCACAGCGCCAGCCCCTACACACATACTCTTAAATAAATCAGTCAAAAGTGGGCTTGGATCACAAACTTACCGTGGCCACAATAGAACTGATTTTTGCCATTTTAGTAAATGATAGTGCCAACCACTGAATTGCTCAAAATAGATTTTTAGATTGGAGACATAGTTAACCTTTTTATGGGAACAAATACATAGAAAACACAAATTACTTTAAATGTGTTTTTTAATGCCGAGCGTCTATGAGAGAGGGAGGAGCATCTTGGAGTCCCCTGTGATGTGCACAAGTTTATGTCTTGAGCACTGGCCTTCATCTATTTCAGATGACTTCATGACATGTAAAAATAAATTGTCATTGGTTAAAAGTAAGAGCCATTTGAAAGATAAGTATTCCTTCTTTAGCCAACTTTTTTTAATTTTTAATTCTTTTCTTAATTTGAGAACATAAGGTACTTCTAGTAATACTGCAGGGGTGTGTGTGTGTGTGTGTGTGTACCCAGACATATGTGTTTGAGGGAATCTACAGAATATACATATAAGTTTGAGATTTTTGTGGTGTTAAAGGATCTCGTGACATAAAGCCAAAATTTTTTTTAAACATTTATTTGTTTATTTGAAAGTCAGACTTAGAGAGAGAGAGACACAGAGAGATATGTCTTTAATCCACTGGCTCACTCCCCTAGTGCTGGGCCAGGCCAAAGCCAGGGGCTGGTATCTTCCTCTGAGTCTCCCACATATGTGGCAGGGGCCCAAGCACTTGAACCATCTTCTGATGCTTTTCTCAGGTGATTAGCAGGGAGCTGGATCAAAGTGGAGCAGCCAGTACTCAAACCATCACTCAGATGGGATGCTGGCATTACAGGCAGCTGCTTTACCCACTAGCCTACACTGCTGGCCCCCATAAAGCTGAAACAAAACATGCAGGAGTATTTTTTGGTCAGGACTTCCAAATCACATGAATGTTTAAGAAAAAACTAGAACTTGCTAAGAAAATTCAGGCTTGTTTGCCACTTGAAACTCTGGCCAGGAATACTTTACAGATAAGTATTCATACTTGGCTGTTGGCAGGAGCACTTTGGAAGAAGAATGTGAGACACTGCTAATGGTCTTTATTTTTTAAAAAGTCCTGGCAAAACATTAAACTTTTCTACTATAATGTAAATTTAAAAGATGTTATTTTGGGGCTAGTATGGCATAGTAGGTAAAACCAACAGTTGCAAGCTGGCCTCCTATATGGGCACCTGTTCATGTCCTGGCTGCTCTACTTCTGATCCAGCTCTCTGCTAATGTTCCTGAGAAAGCTGTGGAAGATGATCCAAGTCCTTGGGCTCCTGCAACCACATGGGAGACTCAGAAGAAGCTCTTAGCTCCTGGCTTTGAAGTGGCCCAGCTCCAGCTTCTGTAGTCATTTGGAAAGTGAACCAGTGGATGGAAGATCTCTCTCTATATATATTTCTGCCTCTGTATGTCTGTATACTCTGCCTTTCAAATAAATAAATCTTTTTTTTTTTAAAAGTTATTATCTCAAAAACTAAGGAGAAAAAAAAGGAAAGTGAGAGGGAGATAGGGAGAAGCAAAGAGAAAGGGAATATCATTATTTTTAGAATTGTATCTACAAAGTGTATAGAATCTGCTAAAAACTAATAAAAATGTTAAAAAAAAAAAAACTGTTTATGGGGCTGGCATTTCGCATACTACTTAAAACACTAATTAGGGTACCTGCATCTCATACTGGAATGTCTGGGTTTGAGCCCTCATTCCAGCTTTCTCCTATGTGCACCTTGGGAAGTAGCAAGTGATGGTTATCTGCTTTTCACAAGATAGAACTGGATTGAGTTCCTGGCTCCTGGCTTTGGCTGGCCAACCTGGCTGTTATTGTCATTTGAGTTGTGAATTAATGGATGGAAAATAGCTCTCGGGCCAGCACTGTGGTATAGCAGATAAAGCTGCTGCCTGCAGTGTGGGCATCCCATATAGGCACCAGTTCAAGTCCCTGCTGCTCCACTTCCAATCCAGCTCTCTGCTATGGCCTGGGAAAGCAGTAGAAGATGGCCCAAGTTCTTGGGCCCCTGCATCTGCGTGGGAGACCTGAAAGAGGCTCCTGGCTCGTGGCTTCAGATCAGCACAGCTCTCTGGCCGTTGCAGCCAATTGGGGAGTGAACCAGCAGATGGAAGACTCTCTCTCTCTCTCTCTTTCTCTCTCCATCTCTCCATCTCTGCCTCTCTTTCTCTCTGTAACTCTGACTTTCAAATAAATAAATAAATCTTTAAAAAATTTTTTAAAAAATGAACTAAATGGGAATTAAGAGTGATGTGTAGTTCCAAACTGTTAAAAAAATAGCTTTCTGTTTTTGTCTCTCTGCTACTCAAATAAGTAAAAATAAATAATCAAAATTTTAAAAAATAAAGTCAAACCCGTTGAACTGAATGAATTAGAATTAGGTTCCTCCAAGAAGAAGTTTAAATTCATCTTTAGTTATGCTCTCTGTTCAGTTTTCTTAGGTGTGTTCATAAGCAAGGGAATACCAGAATATTTGGAAAAGCAGATTGAGACTAGAGAACTCTTTACAATGTATGGGACTCAAATGATTGTCTTTTTCATGAATAGCAATGCATCTGTGACTGCTTTTTTAAAATAAAATTTTTTTATTTATTTGAAAGGCAGAGTTCCAGAAAGAGAGGGAGAGACAGAAAGAGAGAGATCGTCCATCTACTGGTTCACTCCTGAAATGGCTGCAATAGCCAAGGCTGGGCCAGACTGAAGCCAGGAGACAGGAACTGGATCTTCCATGAGGGTTCAAGGACCCAAGGACTTGGGTCATCTTCCTTTGCTTTCCCAAGCGCATTAGCAGGGAGCTGGATGGGAAACAGCAGTGGATCTCAAACCAGCATCTACATGGGATGTCAGCATCACGGGCAGTGGCTTTACTTGCCACGCCACAATGCCGGCCCCTGTGACTTTAAGGCTATGAACTGCTTTCACTCTTAATATCTATCTGAAGCAGGTATAGAACAACACAAGCATTTTCTCTGAGGAAGGTGGTTTGTGTTGGTTCTGTCTCTTAATTTTCTCTCTGCTTATTGTGCTTTCCCTTAATTTTTTTTTCATCCCAAGTGAAGAAGGGCTCTACGTTGGTATTGTTCTATTATTAGATTGGAAAAAATACTGAAAATGACTTTAAAATGTTTTGAGTCTCATAAGGAAAATACTGTGTAAATCAAATGAAAACCTAATCCCTTTTGTGCTGTTTTTGTTTTGATTGTTAAATCATGTTATTTGAAAAATATTGTTATTATTCCCCCTGGCAAGTTCCTCCCACTCATTGAATGTTAAGTAGTATCTAATAGCAATGAATTAATTCAGCAGATCTTTGTTGAGCACCTATTAAGTAGTATGTTGCCTTCTAGGCACCAGGTATTTAGAAATGATACTATTAAAGAAAAATTGGAGATGAGTTAAATTTAACAAGGTTTATTTGAGTAAGAAAAAAATTCTAGAACCAGGCAGCATTCTGAACCAAAGTTGATTCAGAATGCCTACCCCACCATCTATGCAAGTTGTATGTGTAGCTAGATAAAAGGAAGTGACCTACAAAAACAGCCTGAATGGCTCGTGAGCATTTGCCTCACATGGGCAGGGTCTGATCACATTATACCCTGTGATTGGCACTGCTGTCTGTTACAAGATTATGCTCTTAAGTAAGTTTACAGTTTGTTTAAATACTAGGTTGCAGTTTTACTACATATAGAGCTCGCTTGGGACCAAATTTTGTCACCCAAGAACATAAACAGGCTTAGGCCAAACTTACCAATGTAATAAAAAAGTGCTTGTTCTCTAATAAGGAAGATATACAGTAAATATGTAAACAAGCAAAGGTATAATACCAGATATTATAAATATCATGAACAAAGCAGCTTTTCTGTTTTTTATTTCTTCCTGATATAACTACACACAGTTAAACACACAGGTGTGTTGTCCCAATAAGTTACTAAATTTCTTCATGCACTGGTTTCCTTGTTTATAATATATATTTACCTTGTTTACCTCACAGGGTTGTGTCATTTGAAAAGAAAGAAAGCATTTGAAAGTCTTTTGTAAAATACGACTGTATAAATGTAAGGGATTATTAATTATACTTGTTTAAATGGAGTCAAACATTTGTGTATTCATATTTGGTGTATGTCAGTATTTCTGTCAACCTTGTTTGCTGTTTAGATTATAAACCACTTGAGATTGGGATACATGCTATTTGGCTTGTTTTCATTTTCATCCCTCTAGTTTTTGAGATTTATGTAAGATATTTAGTCCATTTTGTGTTGCTGTAAGAAAATACTGGACAATGGATTAGTATATTTAAAGAAGTTTATTTGGCTTACAGTTCTGGTGGCTGAAAAGTCCAAAAGGCATGATACCAGCAAGGGCCTCCTGGCTGCATTGCATGGTGGATGACATCACATGGCAGGAGTGCATGTGAGAGGGAGGTCATTTGGTGAGATGGGAAACGAGTCCAAGGAGGGGCCAAGCTCATTCTATCATAACAACCTCCTCTCACAGGGACTAATTCACTCTTGTGAAACCTAACCCATTCTGTGCCATCAGCATTAATCTGTTTTAAAAACCTAATCACCCCCTCTTAAAGCCCTCACTATTGCAATACATTGGGGAATTAAGGCTCAACATGAGTTTTGACAGAGACAAACCATGATCAAACTACAGCAGATGTCAATGCTTTGTTATTGTGATCAAGCATAAGATGGATGCTTGGGCTAAATGATCTTTGAAGAACTCTCTGTTGCTGCCATTTTATAATTTTAAAATTCAATAGTTTGAGGTGTGTTGTCCCAGCCTTAGTGAAATAAATAGCATTTTCTTTTTAGTCCAGATGTGTGGTTAGGATACAGAATAAAACATTCCAATTGCTGCTTAGCCTTTTGGCTAAGATCAAGTGCAGAATAAAGCATTTTATAATATGTTAAAAGTTTCCATCTGTATGATCAGCTATCAACTACCTAGCTAGTATCTCAATTATACATATATGAGTGTACTTCAAAATATTTATGGAAAATGTGGGTAGGTGCTGTGCACAATGGTTAAAAAGCTATTTAGGATGCCTGCTATATTGGAGTATCTGATTCAGGTCTTGGCTTTGCTCCTGAATCCAGCTTCCTGATGATGCTCAGCTTTAGAGGCAGCAGATGATACTGGCTCAAGTCAAGTAGTTGGGTTCCTGCCACTCACTTGGGAGACCAAGATTGAGTTCCTAGCTCCTGCCTGTGACCTAGTGCAGACTGGGTGTTGCTGACATTTGGAGAGTGAACCAATATATGGGAAATCAATCAATCACTCTCTCTCTCTCTCTCTCTCTCTTTCTGTCTTTCAAGTAAATAAAAAATTTTGGAGCTCATGGAAAAGGAAATCAAAATTTATTTTGGTACAAAAATTTTTAGTTTTTTTTTTAATTTATTTTTTAAAAGATTTTACTCATTTGAAAAGGGAGAGTTACTGAGAGAGAGGAAAAGAAACAGAGATCTTCCATGTGCTGGCCCCCTCCCCAAGTGGCTGCAATAGGCAGGGCTGGGCCAGGACAAAGCTAGGAGCCTGTAACTCCATCTAGGTCCTGAAGTATGTGTCGGGCCCAATTATTTGGGACATCTTCCTCTGCTTTCCTAGGCTCATTAGCAGGAAACTATCAGAAGTGGATCCTCTAGGACTCAACCAATACTCATATGGGATGCTTGTGTCTCAGGTGGTGGCTTAACCCATTATACCACAATGCTGGCCCCAGTACAAAAAAATATTGAAATCTGTGCCTGTAAGAGGTCATCAGAAAATTCATAAAGGGGGCCAGTGTTGTGGCGCAGCAGGTTAAGCTGCTACCTGTAATGCTGGCATCCCATATGGGCGTTTGAGTCCTGGCCACTCCACTTCCAATCTAGCTCCCTTCTTATGTGCCTGGAAAAGCAGCAGAAGGTGGCCCAAGTGCTTGGATCCCTGCCACGACATGAGATGGAGTTCTAGGCTCCTGGCTTTTTAGCATGCCCCAGTCCTGGCTGTTGTAGCCATTTGAGGAGGGAAACAGCAGATGGAAGATCTGTCTCCCTCTCTTACTCTGTAAGTCTACCTTTAAACATAATAAAATATAAATAATTTAAAAAAAAATTTATTGAGGGGCTGACATGTGTCGCATTGGTTTAAACCTGCCAACTACAATGCTGGCATCCCATATAGACAGCAGTTCAAGTTCTGGATAGCTCCATTTTAGATCTAGCTCCCTGCTAATGTGCCTAAGAAAGCAGTGGAAGATGGTCTGAATTCTTGGGTTCCTGCCACCCATGTAGGAGGCCTGAAAGTAAAGTTCCTGGCTGCTGGCTTTGGCCTGATACAGCCCCAGCTGTTGTGGCAATTTGAGGAATGAACCAGGGTATGGAAGTTGTCTCTCTTGCTCTCCCTCCCCCTTTCCCTCTCCCTCCTCCTCCTCCCTACCTTTCAAATAAATGATTAAATAATTTTAAAAATAAATTTATTGAACAAAAAATGCATGGATTTCAAAATTTTTGTACAAAAATAAACTTACATTTTTTTCCATTCTTGAACTTTTTGAAACACTTCATATAAGAAACAATATGATCAACAGAAAGAGCATCCTTTTTTTTTAAACTTTTATTTAATGAATATAAATTTCAAAAGTACAGAATATGGATTACAATGGCTTCCCCCCATAACGTCCCTCCCACCCACAACCCTCCCCTTTCCCACTCCCTCTCCCCTTCCATTCACATCAAGATTCATTTTCAATTCTCTTTATATACAGAAGATCAGTTTAGCATACATTAAGTAAAGATTTCAACAGTTTGCTCCCACACAGAAACATAAAGTGAAAAATACTGTTTGAGTACTAGTTATAGCATTAAATCTCAATGTACAGCACACTAAGGACAAAGATCCTACATGAGGAGTAAGTGCACAGTGACTCCTGTTGTTGACTTAACAAATTGACACTCTTGTTTATGGCATCAGTAATCACCCTATGCTCTTGTCATGAGCTGCCAAGGCTATGGAAGCCCCCTGAGTTAACTGACTCTGATAATTTTTAGACAAGACCATGGTCAAAGTGGAAGTTCAGAAAGAGCATTCTTATGACTTCTGGATATTCCCTCTTAACCACTTGTTCTGCTATACTCTAGAGGACCAATTTGTTTTAAACTAAAGCATATTGGGATTCTACTTGTGTCTGTTGTCCTGTACTAAAAGTAATGTTTCTCTTTTTTTTTTTTTTTCAAAGGTACGCCAGCCTGTCATATGCATCAACAACCATGTATTTTGTTCAGTTTGTATTGATTTGTGGTTGAAGAATAATAGCCAGTGTCCAGCATGCAGAGTCCCCATCACTCCTGAAAATCCTTGCAAAGAAATTATTGGTAAGTGCCTATTTTATGCATATGTAAAAACAGATTGAAACCAATCTCTAAATAATACATATTTGGGGAAATACTGAACTACATAGTTTTCAGTGGTGTTATCTGATCAACAACATACTGAATGGGTTAGTAATTTTGTGTATGTATGTGGAACAATCAAGAACAAGGCAGTTTGTAGAGAAGCTTAGGGAAATAATCCTTTGAGCCTCACTAAATGTACATTCTAATATTTACTGTGCATATTAGCCAAAACTTTAGTGGTTCAAAATAGCAGATACTAAGGGCAAAACAAAAAGAACATTGAAAAAAGCTTTATGAAGTAGGACATTTAAGAATCAGTAAAATTTCAACTTGTAAGATTAGAAAGCACTGTCAAGAATAGCAAGAACTGGAGCCAGCACTTGTGGCATAGCAGGTAAAGCTGCCATCTGCAGTGCCAGCATCCCTTATGGGTGCCAATTCGAGTCTTGGCTGCTCCACTTCCCATCCAGCTTTCTGCTATAGCCTGGGAAAGCAAAAGATGGCCCAAGTCCTTGGGCCCTTGCACCTGCATGGAGGATCTGGAAGAAGCTCTAGGCTCCTGACTTTGGATCAGCACAGCTCCGACCATTGCTCCCCATGGCCCTCTGGGGAGCAAATCATCTGGTGGAAGACCTTCTCTGTCTCTGCCTCTGCCTCTGCCTCTGCCTCTGCCTCTACCTCTACCTCTCTGTAGCTCTGCCTTTCAAATAAATAAGTCTTAAAAAAATTAACAGTGTGAACTAAAGTTTAGTTGTTAGGAAACACACAGCATGTTTTTAAGTTATTAATTGTCTGATTTGGGTCTGACTACTGAAATAGAAATGAAAAGATAAGTTGAGGCATTAGCATTGAGAACCTTGAGTGGGAACTAATTCAAGAATTTACCCTATATCACAGAAAAAAGAGTGAAGTGGGTGTGATAGTTTTGAGCAAATCAGTAAAATGAGCCAGAATGTGCTTTGTAATATTACTTGGACTATAGGGAACAGACAACATGTGAGTGGGTCATGGAGTGGGTTCTGGCTCAGGTAAGGGAGAATGTGAGTCCAGATTAATGGTTAAAAAAAAAAAAAAAAAAATCAGTGCAACACTAATGCAGATGAGAGGGGGTGAAAACCTGAATTAGAGGATCCTTTTAAAAGAAAAGAACCTTTTTAGTGTCTGGTTTTATTCTACTCATTTAAGTCACTTTGTTTAGATTACAAAACTTACAGTGATTGTTTTTGTTTTTGCTTTAGGAAAAACCGCAAGTATATGTATAGTTAGCCATGTACAAAAAAACATCTTACAGAAAACTTAAGAAGTCATTTTATTACTCCCAACTTAGGGAAAATGGACCTAAGATTTTTTATAGTGGAAAAGGAAGGTAACATGCTAGAAAACAAAAGAACTAGTGGGGATTTTAAAATAAGCAATCCAAAGGAGGAATTAGAGTTTACTCTTTGATTTCTCTCTCAAGTTCTTAGGGGAAATCTGATGGGGAACTAATTCTCTGCTGTGTTGCATGCTGTAGTGTTAATCTGTCTCTAGTTTCTTACCTAATGAATAATGAAACTCACCAGAGAGGTCTTTTCTTGCAGAGTATAAGGTTTGATGATTGAGATTTTCTTCACAACTTTCTCCTGCTTTTAGTCATTCATGTCTAAGTAATAGTTCATAAATTCTCTCAAGTAAAGTAGTTCATCTGTGCTTGCATTTGTATTGAACCTCCTAAAAAAAGATCATCTGTAAAATAAATTTGCCATCATTTTGCTAAAAAATACAAAGAAGGTAACCACAGAATAAGTGACTAGCTCTCAGGAAGAACTCAGTTTTGGCGTATTTGTAACATGTCATGTCATGCAATTAATGCTGTGACTAACAGTCATTGTAACTGAGTTGTTGGAGTCCTTGAAGAGACACATTAATCTTTTAAATTGTGTTTCCAGTAACCAGGCATATTTGGATCCCTTCATTATAATTATTATATATTATCATGGTTTCTGATACATATTCTTTATATGAGCAGTTGGTTAACTATAATAATTGGTTTTATCATTATTTAACAGTTGTCTAATTTTCAGAATTTGCAGTAGTATAAATGTGATAACTGATTATATGTAACCCTTTCTTCCACTGAGTTTGCCATAATGCCATATGTAAGTAAGTAAACATGACATGATATTTGACTGAGGATATTTCTTATGATGTTAATACTGTCTTTTCTCATGATTAGGATAAAGGCCCAAGTGGCAGCCTAAAGTGAATATAGAAGGGAAAAGGTAGATATTAAGCAAAGGAGCTATATGAAACAATAAGAAAAAGGTTCATTTTTGTTCCATCCAAATCAGATTGATAAATTACGATTTTTTTTTCCCTGTAGGAGGAACAAGTGAAAGTGAACCTATGCTAAGCCATACAGTCAGGAAGCACCTTCGGAAAACTAGACTTGAGTTACTCCACAAAGAATATGAGGTAAATAATAATTAACGTTTAAAATGATGTCAGCATTGAATTCAAGGTAAAATTGAGCCTCCTTAGTTCCTGGACTTCTGTAAGTAAACATCCATTGAAACCTTTAAGTATTGGGTAAAAAATACTTTATTAGATATCTAATAAGTTCTTTTTCTTTTTTCTTTTCCTATTATACAAAAGGGATTTTTCCTTTTCTTTAAATACTCATATTGAAGAATGAATGAATAGGATTCCAGAGAAAAGGAACAGATGAAAGCATTTCCTTTTTCTTCTTTTTAATTTAAAATTTGTATCTGTGTCCACTTGTCATTTTTTATGTGCTTCTTCAAAAAGTTAGGAGATAATGGAAAGAAACCCTCTTTGTGAAAGTCACTCTGACTCTCACAAAATCATCATTTGTTTCTACCACTAAGTTCACTGATTTTTAGAAGCCTGATAATTCTGTGACAGTGATTATCCATGTGAGCTACCAGCACAGGGAAAGGTGAATGAACAGGCTGATTTGACATGGGGATGTAGTTTTTCTGAGAAAATCCATGATAATGGAATATAGTAGTCCTCCTTTATCTGCATTGGTTATGTTCCAGGACCCCCTGTGGATGCCTAAAACCACAGATAGTACTGAACCCTATGTATAATATGTTTTTTCCTATACATACTTATCTATCCTATAGTTTAGTTTATAACCCAGACACAGTAAGAGACTAGCAATAATGATAATAGAATAATTATTATACTGTACTATAATAAAAGTTACTTAAATCTTATGAATTATTTCTGGTAAGGGTTGATGACTATATATATATACACTTGTTGAAAGGTAGACAGTAAACCCAGTTACTTTGTGTTGACTAAATAGGGGATTTTTTAAAATAATTTTTAGAATAGTTTTAAATTTACAAAACATATTATTGATCTCCTGTTTTGACACAAATATCTTTAAGTTAAACTATAAAAACTGTGGCCGGCACTGTGGCTTACTTGGTTAGTCCTCCTCCACTTGCAGCACCAGCATCCCATATGGGTGCCAGGTTCTAGTCCCAGTTGCTCCCCTTCCAGTCCAGCTCTCTGCTGTGGCCTAGGAGCGCAGTGGAGGATGGCCCAAGTATTTGGGCTCCTGTACCCACATGGGAGACCAGGAAGAAGCACCTGGCTCCTGGCTTCAGATCGGCCCAGCAGCAGCCATGGCGGCCGTTTGGGGAGTGAACCAACAGAAGGAAGACCTTTCTCTCTGTCTCTCTCTCTCACTGTCTATGACTCTAATGTAAAAAAAAAAAAAAAAAACTATAAAAACTGCCTCAGCTGCCTTAAAAAATTTTTGAAATACAGTACAGCATAAATGATTAAAAATGCTCATTCATGTGTGTGTTTTCCAGAGATAAGATTATATAAACAAATATTTTTATTTGTTCATTCATTAATATATTAATTAAAAAAATAATTTTCTTATGAATTTAACTTGAAATATAATTTAAGATAGTAAATAGTGCTGTCTGTGTTAACTCTAAAATATAATATTATATATTTAAAAAATACCTACCATACTTAGATACTAATCAGATTAATTTTTTGGGAGCTCATTTTCTATTTTGTTCTGTTTTCTGATACTATAATAAAATTCCTGAGACTGAGTAATTTATAATGAACAGAAATCTGGCTCATGGTTCTGCAGGCTAGACAGTCCAGCTGTATGGCACTGGCATCTGGCTAGGCCTTCATGCTGTGTCGTCTATAGCAGTAGGCTGAAGGGCAAACTAAGATGAGCTAGCAAGAGAGTGAAGGAGGCCTGAACTAATCCTTTTTATCAGGAACCCATTCCCTCTATAATAAACACACTCCCTCGATGGTAGCATTAACCGCTTTATGAGGGTGAAGCTCTTGCAGGTTGATCACTCATGAGGGTTCCACCTCTTAATACCATCACAATGTCAATTAAATTCCATCTTGAGTTTTGGAGAGGATTTTTTTTTTTTTTTATTTGAGAGGTAGAGTTGCAGACAGTGAGAGGGAGAGACAGAGAGAAAGCTCTTCCATCACTGGTTCACTCCCCAGATGGCCACAACAGCCAGAGTTGCACTGATCCAAAGCCAGGAGCCAGGTGCTTCTTCCTGGTCTCCCATGTGGGTGCAAGGGCCCAAGGACTTGGGCCATCTTCCACTGCTTTTCCAGGCTATAGCAGAGAGCTGGAATGGAAGAGGAGCAGCCGGGACTAGAACTTGTGCCCATATGGGATACTGGCACCGCAGGCAGAGGATTAACCTACTGTGCCATGGCGCCAGCCCCTGGAGAGAATATTTAAACCATAGCACTGACATATTGAGTTTCTTGGAGTTTACTTTTTAGCCATAAAAATTTTTTTTAAGTTTTATTTTTTCACTTAAAAGGCAGAGGTATAGATAGACAAAGTGAAAAACCTGTCCGCTGATTCCCTCCCCAAATGGCTGCAACAGCTGGTGCTGGGTCAGGCTGAAACCAGGATCTGGAACTCCATCTGTGTCTGTCACGTGGGTGGCGTGGGCCCAAGCACTTGGGCCATCTTTTGTTGCTTTCCCAGGCATATTAGCAGGGAACTGGATTGCATGTGGAACAGCTGAGACTCGGATTTAACCTGCTGTGCCACGACACCAGCCCCAGCCATACAATTTTTAACAACCTTGGTGTAAGATGCCTAACTTACGCATGAATAAATAACATTCAGAAAAGACTTGCAACCCAAATGTTTAGTTATTATTGTATTAAAGATAATAAGCTGGGGTGGGCATTGTGGTTCTGTAGGTTAAGCCACCTCTTGGGATGCCCACATCCCATGTAGGAGTAGCTGGGCTAGATTCCCACCTCTGCATCTGGTCCAGTTACCTGCTAATGTACTGTGAGGCAGCAGGTAACAGTCATAGAGTGCTTGGGTTCCTGTTATCCATATGGGAGACCTAGATGAAGTTCTTGGCTCTTGACTTCAGCCTGGCCCAACCCTGGTTGTGAACTAGAGGTTGGAAGATCTCTCTGTCACTCTTCATACAGACAGATAGAGGGGTCAGTTAATAGATAGATAGATAGATAGATAGATAGATAGATAGATAGATCATCCTTATTTTAAAAAAATTAAGACAAGCAGTTCTAGAGTGGGAAAACTAATACATAGAACAGTTACTATAGTACTTGAAGAACCAGAATCCAAAAAACATTAAAAAAAAAAACAGCTATAGATTTATTCTTAAATAGAGAGTGGAAGGAAGTGAGGTATGGTTTCATTCCTTTGCAGATACAGATGCCAAAATATAAACATAAAACAAGACCTTAATAAATCAGCCTGATTGGTACTGTACTTTTTAATTCCCCTCATTAAAGAAGTTAAACTTGCCTCAGAATTTTCTTCCCAAATAGAATCTACTTCCCAGTTGAAATTCACTTGTCTTCTTGTTTTCTGGTTATCTTAAAGAGAATCAGGATTTTGATATTTTTCTTATTTTTAAACCATTGAATATAAATGAAAACAGCATAAAGCCAGTTTTTATCAAAGTCAGAATACCTCTGGAGAATTTAAGATGAATGTGACTTTTTCCCTCCAAAATTATTCTGATATGTAAACATCTTTTAATGCACAGAATTCTGAGTATAACATTCAAAAACATGTTGGCCCCAGCTTAGCAAATGTATGTGTGTAGTGTCTGTCTACCTAGTGACTATGTAATGCTTTTTCAGGATGAAATAGATTGTTTACAGAAGGAAGTGGAAGAGCTTAAGAGTAAAAATCTGAGCTTGGAATCACAGATCAAGACTATTCTGGATCCTTTAACCTTGATGCAGGGCAACCAAAATGAAGACAAACATCCAGTTGCAGATAATCCAAATACAGTTGACCCAGAAACTATAGCAGAGTGGAAGAAAAAGCTCAGAACGGCTAATGAAATCTATGAAAAAGTAAAAGATGATGTGGATAAGTTAAAGGAGGTAAGTTGTAATGGCTTTAAGAAATCTATTATGGTTGTTTTAAAAATTCTGTATTTTAAGCACCTTTAAAATTATAAATAGGGGCACACATTTGTTATCATTATTAAGATACTGGCATCCCATATCAGAGTCTGGGTTCAATATCCAGCTCCTGTCCTGACTCTGGCTTCCTGCTAATGCAGATCCTGGAAGGCAGTGGTGATGGCTCAAATAGTTAGATTCCTCACCTGGATCTGTTGTGAGCATTTGGGGAGTAAACCAACAGATGGAGGTTGGCACACTCTCTTTCTGTTTCTCTCCTTCCTTTTCACTCTCTACTGCTCAAAATTAAACAAACAAACAAATTTTTGAATTCAACAAGCATTTATTTACAATAGGAACATTTTTTCTCATTAAATATCATTGAGAGACCAGCATTGTGGCATAATGGGTAAAGTTGCTGCCTGGGGGTCTTGGAACATCTATTGTAGACAAGAAGAAACTACTGTTATCATATCTTTTTTTCTTTTTGACAGGCAGAGTTAGACAGTGAGAGAGAGACAGACAGAGACAAAGGTCTTCCTTCCGTTGGTTCACCCCCAAAATGGCTGCTACAGCTGGTGTGCTGTGCCGATCCAAAGCCAGGAGCCAGGTGCTTCCTCCTGGTCTTCCATGTGGATGCAGGGGCCCAAGCACTTGGGCCATCCTCCACTGCCTTCCCGAGCCAGAGCAGAGAGCTGGATTAGAAGAAGAGCAGCTGGGACTGGAACCGGCACCCGTATGGGATGCTGGCACCGCAGGCAGAGGATTAACCAAGTGAGCCACGGTGCTGGCCCTATTTTTATTTTTTATTCAAGGGACAATCCATGGAATTTATTGGGAAATATTGACCCAATTTTAAGGATCCCAGAATTTGGGAGCCAGGGCTTTGGGAAAGCCTTTTCAAGAAAGATGCAAGTGGTTGAAGCGTATTATTGCTATTATCACTAGAAAAAATACTTTTAAACAACCAAAAAACATCAATCTCATAACTCCAGGATTAACTCTTCAGCTTTAGTTTGCAAATAATTGCATGTGGTGTAATGCTTAGTGTGTTCAGTTATGTGAAGAAAAAAAACCTATATTTACCATAGTATGGCTCCTTAGTCACTTTCAGCTAACTCACATAGCTTCATTTATTTCCCTGGATAGATTTGCAAAGTGCTCAGGGAATATGCATTAAAAATGCTTCATCATGTTCATAAATCTCACAAGTATTTCTCATTTTAAGTTTCTGACGACCATGTTCTAAAACTTAATTTTTTGATATTACACCTTTCAAAATATAGATGGCTCATTTCATACTTTTTACAATGTACTTTTGTTTTATCTTGTGCTTAATTAAAACTTTTTGTTTGTTTTAAGGCAAATAAAAAATTGAAATTGGAAAATGGTGGCCTGGTGAGGGAGAACTTACGACTAAAGGCTGAAGTTGATAACAGATCACCTCAGAAGTGCGTATTTTGCAAATTAAGGACTGTTTCATATTGTGTCAGAGTTGTAGACTAGGCTACTATGATAGTATCTGGTTTTCTTTTGGCTCTTCATTTAATCATGTAAGTTTAAGTATAACATCTTGCCTCTAAAAGTCAAGGATGTACTTTGTGTTATCGGTAAAATCTTAGTCTCAGTTAAGGCTAACCTTTTTAAAAAACGGTTTCACTCTTATTCTTTCTCCTTATTTGATAATGATAAGATGGTTTTATTTGACCCGACAGGTGAGCACCAGGTCTTAAATACAGAGCTATTTAATAGTACTAACAATTAGTGAAATTAAAGTAATGCCTTCCTGATATTTTCCAAGATGATCTCAGTAATGGTTAATGATCATATAGTTCTTTTTCTTTGCCATGGAGAACATGTCTTGTAATACGGTAATCATTCTCTTAATTTCTACTGAGAACAAAGGCATAAAGATATTACTTTATCTTAATCTGCACATCTAGTTAGTGGTTGAAATAGCATTTGAACTTAGTCTAGCCCGAGTCTGTTTTCTTAACCAATAAACTAAAATGCCTATGTGAAATAGAATTTATGGCATTGTTCTTTGAATTTTGGGTTAATTGGAACAAAAAAATTAAATGTTTTCTTTTGTGATGAAATGTTCATTATTTTTCATAAAATATTAGATAACAAGTGTTGACAGTTTGTTTGGAATTATAAGAAAAAGTTAGGTGTTGAAGATGAAGAAAAGATTGCAGAGAATACTTGAGGTTCTTTTTCAAGGAAAAAGAAATGACAAGTGAGAGAACAGTATGCCCTCCAAGGTTGGCAATCTTTCTAAGGGATGGCATATCAGAAGTACCCCTTTTAGTCCAAGAAATGTCTGGGCTCCAATTGTTTTTGTTGGGAAAGGGTAAGACAGGAATGAGTAAACAATGGAAATTTATCCTACCAGAAATAGCTCTCTGCTTGTCATTTGTGAAGGAGGAGATACTGCTTTCACTAAAGCCAAATGTGGTATCAGGAAATGGTAGACATACACCATAATTGCTTTGAGCAGAGATAACTAACCAATAGAGAAAGAAGCATAGCTTTTAACTTTTAAATAGTTCCTTCCCCTGTGTTCTCCAACCCTAATTTTCTTTCACTTTAGATAATATCCTACTTTGACAAATTAGTGAAATAAACTTAGGAAGTGTTGCTGTTATGTGGTGGCTTGAATCTCTGCTCTTATCATTTATTGGCAGCTCGCCTTGCCAGTCATAATAATGTTTGTCCATTAGCCATTTCCCACAGCATACTGAATGGAACTAAAGCTATTTTGCTTATAGCTTTTATTTCTTGAAAAGTTGCCCACCAGATTTCAAATTTAATATCAGCACGAGATGTCTGTTTTTAAATATCGACAGGTCCAACTAGATAAATAACTGAAAAATCTCACCTGAAGAAACGTGGGCTTTGCTCAGAAACAATCAGCAACACATCTGAATCCAATGTAACTATAATTTTCCATCTTTAACTTCCATTCCTTCCCTTCAGGGGAAGGGAACAGTTTCACTTGAAAAGCGATTTCGGCTGACCCCTACTCTAGATCAATTTGCAATGCATTTGATTTATAGCCTTGTTTACTCTGCATCCCCACATTCTAGTGGGATTCAGAGAGAAGCTGACCGCAGCTGAAAACATCAAGATATGGTTCACCTGAGGAGAGCTCTTACTACAAGTAAATGCCAACATACAAATCACCCATTTTATTCCCTCAGTCTAGGCAGTGCCTTGACTAATTACCTTTCCCTTGTCTACTTGGCTAGGTGTCAAGGTATATCTTTTTAAACCTGTGGTCTCAATATGTGATATATCTGACAAGTCAGGAAAACATATTCTACAACTCATACAGGAGAGCTTCAAAATTTAAACACTTAAGAAGAAAGCACATTAGGAAAGCCTATTAGCTCAGGCCGTCACAACAGAATACTATAAAGTGATTGGCTTAACAAGCAGAGATTTATTTTCTCACAGTTCAAGGGACTGAAAGTCCCAGATGCAGATTTAGTAGGGTTTGTTGTTGATGCAGGCTCTGGAAATCACATAGTACCCAATAAGCAATCTAGTTACACATATATACATATATATACTGATCAAGGTAAACATCTTTATCCTTTCAAGCATTTAACATTACTTTATAGCAAAAACATCCAAACATTTTATCTTCTAGGTTTTTTTAATAACAAAATATACATTATCTATGTTTACCCTACTGTACAATAGAACCCAAGAATTTCTTACCCCTATTTGGCTATAACTTCATACCCATCAATCAACCTTTTCTCCCCTCCTCCTTTCCCCACTTTATTTTATTATTCTCTCTACTGTGAATGTCTAAAAATTTTTATAATGAAAGATTAAAACCAAGACATAATCACTGCTTCCAGAAAACTCAATGTAATGAAAGCAAGAAACAAATATACAAGAAACATGCTGAACAGATACTAAGTCATGTAACAGAGATGGTAATACAGGTACAGAGAATGTCAAGTAGATTGCAGTTATAAGGGAAAGTCTATCAGAAAATCAAGTTTTGAGCCCAGCTTAAAGAGATGGAGATTTCAGTGAGGAAGAAGTCATTCTCAGAAGCAGCAGCTTGAGCTAATTAGAGTGCCAAGTGGTCGCTTAAGCTCTCGTCCCTTTCCTACACACATCATGTAGCCACACATCATGTCGCTGCTCAGGAAACACAGTGGCTTCCTTCTCAGATTCATTGAAACAAAAATTTTTCTATCCGATTTTTTCCTCTATGCATTTTAACCATCAACAGTCTACTTGGGCAGTTGATTAGCAGGAGTCTGCTATATCTACCACCCTTTGCTATAAGAAAAAAAAGCCTGCTAGTCTCAGTGTTTCATGGGGAATGACTAGGCCTCTGCATGGTAAGAAACATGAAGAATGGGAAAAAGTTGAAGGGAACACTTTAGTAATGGATTTTTGTTTTATTCCTAAATCTCCTTGAATTCAGCTACTACTAAATTGTGCCAGAACATGTGGATATATTGTCCTTGATTGAGTTAGGAGTTCCTTAGTGATTTTTTTTAACTTGAAGAAATATTAACAATTGACTTAAAAAACATTTAAAATTTCTGTTCTTTGCCAGGCCTTTCTGTTCTGTTTGTATGTATTTTTGTTTTGGTTTGGTTTGGTTTTATTGTTTAGTTGTTTTTTGTTTTGTTTTGTTTTGCTTCAGCACTCTAGAAAGGGATCATAGCATGTCACCAGCTATTATGAGGCATTAGCAGACCAACTACTAATTCATTTTATAATACGGAATACAAAACTCCATGTACAAGACTTTGCAGATCATTTCTATCAGACTTGGTTATAATTGGATTATTAACCTTCCTTTCTACAAATATATGTTCAGGAATGTTGTATATTTTGTAATTGTGTCTTTAGTGAGTTAGATCTGTGAGTTTGATAATGTCTGCCTGCATACAGCTCATTTTACTGCACAGGATCCCCAAGGCTTGTCATTATGGACCAGTCTTTACCCATGGTCCAGCTCCTTTGGGGAAAAGATGAAAGCTCTGCTTACTAACTTGACAGTCAGCAGTATTTTATGTTAGTAGAATATAAAAGAAGTGCTCCAGAGAGGCAAGAATAGACTTAATAGATTAGGACCTGGACTCTCTTCTCTTTTTGCTGTATTTATGTTTGGCTTGCATAATAATCTTCCTGTAGGTCCAAGATTATAAAACAAAATCTAAATCTTTTTCTTTATCCTCTCTCCTGAACTGCAGATTCATATTTCCACCTGTCTATTTTGTACTCTCAGTAAAGGTCCTATACATTACATTCACCACAAAGCATGGTGGCTAAGAAGAGCTTAGCTCTTGAGACAGACTAACTGAATTCAAATTTCCCTTCTACTCTGTCCCCCATTCCCATACCCAGTTCATTTTTCATCATACTAAAAATTGCATTTTAATAAAATATAAATCAGATTATTTAGATCTCTTTCCTAAAACTGCCCAGTGTTTCCTAAAATGAAATACAGGGGCCGGCACTGTGGCGCATCAGCTAAAAACCCTGGCCTGCAGCGCTGTTATCCCTTAAGTCCCGGCTGCTCCACTTCCTATCCAGCTCCCTGCTAATGTGCCTGGGAAAGCAGTGGAAGATGGCTGAAATGCTTGGGCCCCTGCATTCACGTGGGAGAACTGGAGGAAGCTCCTGTCCCCTGGCTTTGGATCGGTTCAACTCCAGCCATTGCAGCCATTTGGGGAATGAACCAGCGGGTTCACTCTCTACCCCTCTCTCTAACTCTGTCTTTCAAATAAATGAATCAAAAAAAGAAAGAAAAAGAAAGAAAGAAAGAGAGAGAGAAAGAAAGAGAGAAAGAGAGAGAGAGAGAGAGAGAAAGAAAGAAAGAGAGAGAGAGAGAGAGAGAGAGAGAGAAAGAATGAATTACGGACTCTTCACTAGCTAGTCCACATGTGCCTCTTGTACTTACTCTCATTTTCACTCCCCTGGCTCACCATAGTCCAGCTCCCCTGTCATTCTTCTAAAACATGCTGGACTTAGTTTCTTCTGCTGAGAATATTCTACTTCCAGATCTTTGCTTAGATATCTCCTTTGGTCATCATGTTCAGAGAGGCCTTTTCTGATAAATCAATCTAAGGCATCTCTCTCCCTCAGGTCTGTCTACTTATTTTGTTGTATGAGACAATGCTATGTTAAAGCAATAGGACTTGGTGGTTATGAACAAAGGTTCTCCAGGACGCTGAACACTGACCCTGTATATTTAATGTCTGTGTAATTTGGAGGAAGACTTTTAACCATTGTGTATCTCAGTTTTGGCCATCTGTGAATGGGCTGGTGGTTCTGCCTATTTTGTAGATTGTAGTCAAGATTAAATGAATTAAAATTTGAAATGGGCTGATGACAGAGTCCATAGTTAAAACCAACAAGTGTTACAGTATTTATCCCATATTATCATCTTCACTCCTGCTCCTTTAATTGC